GAACCCCAGATCTGACAGCACTGAACCCCAGTTCTAGGCCAGACCCTGGGAACCCAGGCTCATACAGAGGGATTCTAGGCTCTAAGGCGGAAACTCAGGGGAGCGGTGAAAGGCAGAGTCCCGGAGTCACGCACGTTGTGTGCAGAGGAGGGACTGTTGACTGTGCCGCTGGATTGCCCTAGTAGGAAGGAGACAAAATCTCCAAACTTTGCTGAGCCTCAGTTCTGACTGCACTGAACCCCAGTTCTAGACCAGACCCTGGGGATCCAAGCTCATACAGAGGGATCTGGGCTATAAGGCCGCTGGATTGCCCTAGTGGGAAGGAGACAAAAGCTCCGGACTGCACTTGAACCCCACTTCCAACCCCACTATCAATTGCACTGAACCCCAGTTCCGGGCTCATTGGGGGAGAGACTAGACTGTCTGGTAGTGGGTGAAACTCGAAGTCACCTTTCTCTCGGAGGTGCTTGCAGTGAGTACCAAAGCAGCGACTACCAAAGGACACCGAGGAACACTGAGACTCAGGAACCTCCTAGGGCGGGATTAACAGGAAGCCAAGGCTATAGGCTCCATCCTGAAACTCCATCCCATCCAAGCTGAGCACAGAGGCTTTTGAATAAGGCTGTCTCCTGGTATAGACACAGCTGATCCTCACAGCCAATTGGCCTGGAGGTCAGTTCCTCCCAGTGATACCAACAACAATTAAGACTTAACTACAAAAGGCTGTACACACAGTCCACAAAGGGGTGCACCAAGAGTGTCCACCTCAGGTAACTGGGAGGCTGACCCACTGAACCATATAGGACACCTTAGCACACAAAGCCACCCTACCAATTCAGGGAAACTGTGAAATGCTGAGACAAGGAAACAGATCACAAACAAAAGAAATGGAGGACAAAAGGCAACTGGATATAGAGTTCAAAACCACGGTTATAAGGTTTTTCAAGAATTTCCTAGAAAAGGCTGATAAAATAAACGAGACCTATGAGGATATGAAAAGGGATCAACTAGAAATAAAGAATACATTGTCTGAAATAAAAAATATTATACAGAATCCTAAAAACATAATGGAAGATCACAAGAATCAAGTCAAAGATTTGGAACATAAAGAGCCAGAGGACACTCCTCCGCAGAAGCAAGAAGACAAGAGAATCCAGAAAGTTGAAGATAGTGTAAGAAACCTCTGGGACAACTTCAAGCAAACTAACATCAGAATTATGGGGGTCCCAGAAGAAGAGAGAGAGTAAGATACTGAAAACATATTGGAAGAAATAGTGACAGAAAACTTCCTGGTGAAAGAAACAGACTTACAAGTCCAGGAAGCGCATAGAACCCCAAACAAAAGGAACCCAAAAAGGACCATACCAAGACACATCATAATTAAAATTCCAAGAGCAAAAGACAAAGAGAGAATATTAAAAGCAGCAAGATTAAAGCAGGTAGTTACCTATAAAGGAGCACCCATACAATTGTCAGCTGATTTCTCAACAGAAACCACGCAGGCCAGATGGGAATGGCAAGAAATATTCAAGGTGATGAATAGCAAGAACCTACAGCCAAAAATGCTCTACCCAGCAAAGCTATCACTCAGAATCGAAGGCCAGATAAAGAGCTTCACTAATAAAAAAAAGCTAAAGGAGTTCATCACCACCAAACCAGAATTATATGAATTGCTGAAGGGGGTTCTTTCAGAATAGAAAGTAAATAAAGATAAAAATTATGAACAACAAATACGTAACTATCAACAAGCAAATCCAAAAACCAAGGGAATTTAAAAAAAATCTGATGAACAATATTAACTGTTGAATATAATAGAGTCAGAGGTATGGAAGGGGAGTGGACTGATGTTTCTCGGGGAAAAGGGGAGAGGGGGGAGTGCGAAGAGACTGAACATAAACTGTGCACCTATGGATGAGGACAATGGGGGGTGAGGAAAGGGCAGAGGGTGGGATGGGAACCTGGTGGAGGGGGGAAAAATGAGGAACTTTTGTAATAATATGAACAATAAAGATTTATTTTTAAAAAATGGGTGCTGATCTGCTAAAATGGGGAAGCACCTTGGGAAGAGTGGCTGCCGTTTCTAGCTGTGGGCAAAGGTGTGTTTCTGAGCTTGAAGGCCATCTGTAAACTAGAGGGAGATTTTGGTGCGATGCCCAAAGCATCTGGAATGTGCCTGAGATGCTAGGGACTTAGCAAGAGATAGAATACACTGACTTTTATCTCTTCTGCACAAATGATTTAAAACCACGGTTTCTCTGTTTTCCACCAGACCTAACCAAAGCAACATAAAGCAGTCACGGTTCTCCAGCCCAAAGAATACAATGTGCTATGTGAACCGTCTAGATAATGCTCAATATCATTGGACTTCAGATCTGGAAGTAACCCTATGAAGGGAGGTCAAGTGCTGTTGAGCAAAGTAGAGAACAAAGACCATGTACTGAAGTTTGTGAACTTGACCTGGAGAGCACAGCTCTGATTGAGGCCCATTGATTCTTAGGCACGTGTGTGTAGATGGTGCATATCCCCAGCATCTCTTGGGGGAGGAGAGAGATGGTTGTTGGACATGTGCAAATTGCTGGTGACAAAAAGCAAGAACTGATACACCTGGCAGGAAGGGAGTAGGGAAGTCATCCCGCCTGTTAGCACCTCTGGGGATGTGGCTGTTACTAACAGTAGCAAGTCACGAAGTGCTTTTGTGTGTGACAGGTGTGCTGATTGTCCTACGTGCATTATTTCACTTAGTTCTCAACACCACCTTAGGCAGGATCCTCGCCTCGTTTTATAGTGTGGCACATGGACATGCTGGTGAGGCTGGAACCCAGGTGTCTGACACTCCAGGTGGGGCATTGAGCCACCGTCCTTTGATCCCTTCCAGTTATTAATGCATCAAAACAATTGACTGTGATGATAACCCCTTTTAATGAAGAAAAGGGTGAAGGTGTTGAAAGTTTGGAAAGTAGAAAAATACTTTAGAACAGTTTTTATTTATTTGTTTATTTATTTATTTATTTATTTAAAATATATTTTATTGATTTTTTACAGAGAGGAAGGGAGAGAGATAGAGAGCTAGAAACATCGATGAGAGAGAAACATCAACCAGCTGCCCCCTGCACACTCCCCACCGGGGATATGCCCGCAACCAATGTACATGCCCTGGACCAGAATCATACCGGGGACCTTTCAGTCCGCAGCCAAACCAGTTTCGGCCAATTTTTATTTTAAAAAGTTCAAATTCAAGTTTTTCCAATGAAAGATGTAAGATGTTTCCCCCCAAAATTTGTGCAACATTTTAGTTCCTGCTAAGCTAAGTTGTTAATTTCATTAAATTTGCCTACATTTTTGAATAAGAAACTGTAAGTTGAATTTTTAAATTCTGTCCCCTTACCTATTGAAGATCAGTCTCTAGATCAGCGGTCGCCAGCCTCGCTCTAGACCCCACGGGACGCATGGGCTCTCTTTGTTCGCCTCCATGCTGTTCCGATGGGGTTAGGGCAGCGAGGACTCAGGATGTTAATTTGTAACCACCACCTTGGTCCCCTGAGAACTCACGTGCAGGGTCTGGTGCCTGGATTGAGAGCTGCAACCGCAGAGGTTTATTCTGCTCACTAGTGGCCGTGTCCCCGGAGCCGGCGTCCGCGCCTCCGAGATCCGGGCGGAAAGAAAGCAGGTCCCGCTTCCAAAGCCCCGACTTCTAACCGTAGCATAATTTTTATCTTTGCCTCTGGATTTTGCAAATTTAAAAAATATTATAGCCATCATTTTGAAAGTCAGTTTTTTACCTTATTTAAAAATTTTTTTATTACTGGAGACCTGATGCACAAAATTCATGCAAAGGGCTTGGCCCTTACAGCTGTGGTGGCTTACCTCAGCTCTTGCAGCCCAGGCTTGGCCTGAAAGATCTTCCGGAAGGATGTCCAGAAGGACGTCCAGTTTAAGTAGCATATTACTCTGTTATTATTATAGATTTATTTCAGAGGAGAAGGGAGAGGGAGAGAGAGAGAAACATCAGTGACGAGAGAGAATCATTGATCAACTGCCTCCTCAATGTCTCTTACTCTTGGATCAAGCCTGCAACCCGGGCATGTGCCCTTGACTGGAATCAAACCCGGAACCCTTCAGTCTGTAGGCAGATGTTCTATCCACTAAGCCAGACCAGCTGGGGGCTCAGTTTTTTACCTTTAAAAAATAGGAAATGTTGGGCCAAGTTCTGTCTCGACACACCTAAAGTTCTCTTTTTCCAAATTTATTCTTAGTTGTTTTTTACAGTGGTTTTCTAAAAGTGTGTGGTATATGTGAGAAAGAGAAAAGGCTATGTAAGCTTCTCTTCCCTTCTCTTTCCCACTTGGAATTGCTCACTAAAATACCTGCGGTGTGGTGCTTTTTAAAAATCCCAGAGGTGGCGCTGCTGCAGGCTGGCTGTGCTCCTCGGCTCATCTGGTGGCCGCCTCCACCGCTGTCGTGTTGGGCGGCTGCTGGGACGAGTGAGTGAGTTCTCATCATATCTCACCACTTAGAATGGTGCTTGGCACATAAAGGCTCAATCAATGCTAATTATTACTTTTAGGGTTTTTATGAGGCTTAAATTAAATGAGATTATGCATGTAAAATGTTTAGTAGAGTACCTGGAATTTATTAAGTACTCCATAAATGCTAGTGGCTCTAATGTAAATATTCAGGTGCCAATATGTCTAAAGAAGCCAGTATGACCATGTCTGTGGGTCTCTACACATGTCATATTGTAGTGACTGTATTTCAGGGTGTGAGGAAACATTAATTCCTATCTTGGCTTTTACCAGTAGATACATGTTACAAAGTTGCACACAATTTAAATAGGTAATTATTTTCTGATTCTAAGGTTAGGTCATTTGTTAGGCCACTCTTCAAGCTTATGTTTATTTTCCTTTAGAAAGCACAGTACTCTAATGCCACAGTGTGGCATGTCCATTTCTCTGCCTAGCGTGCCTGGACCTGACCTGGCTGTCTTCTGGATTGTTTTCTAGGTCTGTGGAACCTCGCTTCTCTTTTCTCCAACCTTTGTTTGTTTGTCTTGATGCCCTTTGCCTTTTTCTTTCTGGAATCAGAAGGTTTTGCTGGCCTGAAAAAGGTGAGTGATCTGTGTTTTGGAATTAAATTAGTTACATGTAGAAATAAATACCATTCATGTTGAACTATAATATAAGAAGTTGGCTTAAACAGTCATTTGATGGGGATGTAAAAAGTTTAATAATAACAATATCTTGTTACTATTACTATTAACAGTCTCTTAGTCACACTGCTTATGAATTGACTGAGTCCGCAGGGAGCAGAGCGTCTTTGACCTTCGCGGCTCCCGGGAGCGTGCTGCCGGGCGGATGAGCCATGTGGAGGGGACGCCCGCGCAGCAGCTGCTCGCAGGCTCTCTCCTTTGTTTAAAGCATGGAGCAAAGCTCTAGGAGCTTAGGGTGTATCTTGGTGTACGTTATTTCACATCCAGGGTGTTCAGGGTGTTCAGGGGGTAGCCTGTTAGAGCATAAGACATGCTCCATCAGACAGCTTCCCGAGGGGCTGTGCTGCTGCTGGGAGCGGGCCCATTGGACACTTCGCAAGAGCATCTCAGTTAGACTTTCTCAGTGGTAAGGACTGCAGCGGTCCTCGGACATGGCATTTTAAAAGTGAGAATATTTTTTACTTGTAGTCTCTTTACTTGTAGAGCTCTTTGCTATAAATTTTTTGAATATAATGCAAAGATTTAAGTAGCTAGTACTTTTTGGGTGACTTTTAAACTTGACAAAATGAGCTTCAGTGTTACAGTTTATTTACCGACACAGCATGCCTTCTCATTGCTAGTCTCTTCATGTAACATGCGGGGGAGGCGTGCTGTGTCCTTGCTGAGCAGCCCTGCAACGTCACACAAATGAACTTGGCTTGGCAAGTTGTAAGCCGTGTACTTTTTGTGTCACATCACTCTCTGTGGGTTCTTAGGAATGAGAATGTTTTGCTGGCGTTTGGCAACTCTTGTACACGTCAAGTTCAGCACGTTTTGGGCCTGCACACCAGAGGGCCCGGGAGAGCCCTGAGGGTGAGGTGGGGTGTCGGTGGACCCACCTCTCTGGTTTCTAGAACTGGTTCTTAAGCCAGCGCTCAGCCACTGAGCCACACCGGCTGGGCATCACTGGCTTTTACTTATTGGAGTTGTTTTTTTATTATGATGCATTTAAATTTATCTAAGTTATCTATATAATGTGAAAAATTACATATTAATAGTTTAAAAAGCTCTTTGTTATAATTTCTTGAATAAATTATAAGAAGTGTTGTTGCTGAAAGGGGTTTCGTTCAAACCTTTCTTTTATAAGGTGACATCTGAGGCCCAGCGATAGTAAATGTTATTAAATTGTCCACGAAGCACATACGTGCAGTTGCCGAATTCGTAGCAAGCCCAGGGGTTGCTGCTGAGCTTCTGAAGTGTTTGTGTTGTTCGCAGCCAGCACTATGGCAGCACAGTTAGGGCCAACGGGTGGGAGCCGGCCAGGGCCAATGGGATGGTGGGGGGAGGCCAACGGGATGGGTGGGAGGGGCCGGCGGGATGGGGGGGCCGGCAGGATGGGGGGAGGGGCCGGCGGGATGGGGGGGCCGGCAGGATGGGGGGAGGGGCCGGCGGGATGGGGGGGCCGGCAGGATGGGGGGAGGGGCCGGCGGGATGGGGGGGCCGGCAGGATGGGGGGAGGGGCCGGCGGGATGGGGGGATGAGGCCAACGGGATGGGGGGGGGCTGGGTGAATGGGGGAGGTTGGTGGGGGTCACCTCAGGGCAGGTGCTGTGTGTGCAAGGACTGGGTAGAGTGAGCTCCTGGCCCACTCCCGGTAGTCTAGAAGGGCTTGTAAACTACAGCATTCAGGAAGGTTGGAAGAATGAGCACGGACAAGAAATGAAGTTGTGGGAGATACTTGAAAAACCAGTTCTGTAGAATTTGGGAGCCTTTGATGGATATTCATTCACCTGACAGTTTTACTAAGCGTGTGCTAGGTAGTAATTGTGCTGCTAATGTAGGAGCTCGCCAGGGGCAGAGAGGAGAGCAGCCGAGGCCGCCGTCGTCGGTGGTTGTGGTTTTATGGGTAGAGGGCAGGGAGTGGGCCCGGGATTTCTGTGAAGGATTTTTGCACTACTGTTTTATCTAAGTCACTAAGGGAAGGTGAAATGCGTGTGGTGGAGGCACCGGCATATGAAGACATCTCACCCCCTGGCCCGTCACATAGCGTCTGGGCACATGTCCCTGTTGTCGCGTATGTCCCTGGTGTTTGCGTACACATGCAGAGCTCTCCTTCCTGTCTGCCTGGGACGCTCGGTGTTAGAGTTTCACATTCGGTCTCATAGGTGTACCTACTTTTATGCTTTTTATAAAAGTCTAGTTATTAAATAATTTTTAAAAACTGCAAATAATTGTCTCCCAATTATTTCCCCCTTGTGAGCTAACTAACTAGAAAGGGATTTGGCTTGATTTATTGGAGCTGAATTAGTTACTATCTCAAGAATTAAAAAAAACAAACCCAGACACAAAAACCATGACATGTCACTATTCTCGTAGTCAAAGGAAAACCACTGAGCCCCAAAGTGTGTTGTTTGCATGTCATGTGGAGGAGGGATGGGGGGAGAGGGAAGCACCTCCTCTCTCCATTGTGCCTCTTTCTTTTTAAAAATTTATATCGTTGAAAGTATTACAGACGTCCCCGTTCCCCCACTAACCCCATCTGCGCCCCCATGCCTTCACCGTACAGTTGTCCGTGTCTCGGGTTTTGAATACATTATATGCACAGAGTTCTTTGGTGGATCTCTTCCCAGCCCCCCCCCCCCCCCCCCCCCCCGCCCCGTACAACAGTCTCTCCTCTAAGTTATGTGCTTCCAGTTTCTCTCTACACGAGGGAAGAACATTCACTCTGTAACTGTCGTCAAGTCCCTCTGGCTCCCCAGCTTCTCTTGGGATCGCAAGGGGTGAATGAGTGAGTGTGGGTAACGTTGACACAGCTGCCCGACTAATGCCCAAACAGCAGGAGTTTTAAAAGACGGCGAGGAGCCAGCACTCAAGATGCTGCTGCTGCTGGACTAGGCCGTGTGGAATGAGGGAGGCTGTAGGAACAAACCAGAGAGCGGCTCCGGGGGCCTCTGAGGGAGGAGGTGCCAGTGAATGGAGGCTGGGAGCCTGCGTGCTGGGAAGGCCGGGTGCAGGGGTGAGATGCCCAGGCTGAGGTTCCCTGAGGTGAGTGGCCTTGTTTACAGGCCCCACGGGAGGAGGCCGCGTGTACAGCGAAGGCTGCACCCCGGGACCAGCCCCTGGCGCCAGCCGTCCTTGCAGCCTCCAGAGCTCCTGCGCTGACGAGTGCGTGTCCGGGAAGCGCCAGTGGTGCCGGGAGTCGTCCGAAGCCGCCGAGAGGCGGCTCCTCACTGTCCCCACACTCGGAGTTTTAAGGTCCCATTTTGATCCCAGACCAGGTGCCAGGCTGCACTAGGGGTGTTTGGGAAGCTTTCCGGGGAAGGCGATCATGACCCATTATTTTAAAACATTCATATTTTCTCGGTTCATAGTCAGTTATAGGGAAGTTGTAAGCTTATTAGCGCTGCCAGCTGGTGTGTGTGTGCACAGCCTCAGTCTGCCTTTCTGGGAAGGCCGCCGCCTGGTAAGCTGAGCTGTTCTGGGCCCAGCGCTGTGGGGGTGCAGCCACTGGCTGTGTTGTTCTGGGCCCAGCGCTGTGGGGGTGCAGCCACTGGCTGTGTTGTTCTGGGCCCAGCGCTGTGGGGGTGCAGCCACTGGCTGTGTTGTTCTGGGCCCAGTGCTGTGGGGGTGCAGCCTCTGGCTGAGCTGTTCTGGGCCCAGCGCTGTGGGGGTGCAGCCACTGGCTGTGTTGTTCTGGGCCCAGCACTGTGGGGGTGCAGCCACTGACTGTGTTGTTCTGGGCCCAGCACTGTGGGGGTGCAGCCTCTGGCTGAGCTGTTCTGGCCCAGCGCTGTGGGGGTGCAGCCACTGGCTGTGTTGTTCTGGGCCCAGCACTGTGGGGGTGCAGCCACTGGCTGTGTTGTTCTGGGCCCAGCACTGTGGGGGTGCAGCCACTGACTGTTGTTCTGGGCCCAGCGCTGTGGGGGTGCAGCCACTGGCTGAGCTGTTCTGGGCCCAGCCCTTTAGGGGTGCAGTCTCGGCGTTCTGGGCCCAGTGCTGTGGGGCTGCAGGCACTGGCTGCGGCCTCCTCGAGTCACTGACATGCTCCGGCGGCTGGCCAGTGCATGCATTTCTGTCGATGCCTTTGAAGCTCTTTGCTCACCGGTGACGTTTGACACATCAGGTCCCAGCGACATTGAAGAGAGCTTAGAAAACACCTCTAATTGGTAGACGGGCACAGTAACTTGAGTAATGACAAACTTGTAATATGGCTGAGTTACAGTCGCTTTATATTTCTTGGCCACCCTCCTGGTGCGTTTTACTGTGTCTCGGTCTGCAGCGTCCCTGCCGGCTGTGGCCCTCCCCATCGGTTCCCCTGGGCACGATTGTAAAGCAGCCCCGTGCACAGTGCCGAGATGCGGAAATTGGCCACTCGCCACAGGCGGATGCAGAGTTGGAATTGAAAGTCAAATTAAGCAGAATTCTCTACGTAGTTTTTAATTAAACCACCATGTTAATTCAGACAGGACATTTCTGGCCTGGGGGGCTGACCGGGTCCCTAAAGAGCCTTTCTCTCCTTCCCGGGTGGGTTCCTGTCTGGGGGCTGATCTTAGCCGTGCCCGCTCCTCATCAGCACAGGGTCGGCGCGTGTAAAAGGCTCTGACAGAGCAGCTGTTCTAGTGGGAAGGCGACTGTTATCTTGGAGCTCTAACTTACGTTTATCACATAAGATGTGAAATGGTTATCACATTTAGATGATTTCCCTGTCCCATACACATATTATATGTTCATGTGTGTTTGAACCTGAGTCCATGCAGACATCTGAATGGTTCTGATGAAAAGGTCACCTCTGTTGGTGTTTGTTTGTTTGTGGGAGACTTTCTCTGCAGTTTTATCTGTCACTCAGATGGACACTGAGTGGGAGGGGCTGCCGTGCGTTTTCCTGTCGCCTCGCTGGAAGCTGTGCGGGTCTCTCTGCCC